GCGTGTTTCGTGGGTTGACTCGGGGTAGACAACGATTATCCTAGCTAAGGGGATTGAAAACTCAAAAAATGCATGTGTTATAGCTAGGAACCTTTGAGGGAAATTGGGAAAGAAAAGAACCCCCAGAAAAATTATTGGCAGAGATTATGTTTCCGTCGAAGTCGCTGGGGCTGGATAATCTCGCCAGCGCGAGACCGCCAGTCAGGAATTTCTCCCGCCAGAGTGGAACAGGGCGAGACAAATCTCAACCCTGTTTCCCCAGTTTTCCCCTAGTCACAATTATGGACCCCAAATGGTACCCAAACTAACCCCCGCTATCTAATTTAGTGTTCAGCAATCGAATATAAGTTATAAAGTGTGTTAAAATTGTGGAGAACCTAGGCATATGAGGAGGAAATAAGAAAGGCTATGGAGGGCGGGGAAATGGTAATGCGGTAGATGAGTAGTGCAACCAAACAAGGAGGTTGCCTGTCAATAGGACATGACTCAATTTTATGTTTTTTCGGGTAAGATCGAGTTTGAGGGTGTGATGCAGTGGTTTGTGCCTAGATGGCTATTGTTTGTGTAATCTAGGCTCTACTTATTCGTACGTGTTAGTTCAATTACCTTAGGATTTGATGTGGTTTGTGATATACTTGATACCTCCATCCATGTTTCTACCCAGTTGAAGAATCAGTCACAGTCACCCTTGTATATCGTATTTGTCCTGTTGTGTTTAGGGATTTTCAGACTTGGGTTGATTTGGTTATGCTGGATATGACTGACTTGATATAATCTTAGGCATGACTTGGTTTCCCCCCTATTATACCGGGATTGATTGTAATACTAAGTCGGTAACTCTAGAGATCCCCGTTAGGGAAAAATTAGAGTGGGAAGGGGTGTACAAGGCTAAGCTAGCTAAAATCATATCCTTCATTTGGGCTAGGAAACAGGTAGGGCAAGGTTGTTTGGCTTATTTGGCTCATGTTTGGTATGTTGAGGTTGAGTCTCCCTCTATTGAGTCTGTTCTTGTGGTGTCTGAGTTAAATAAAGTGTTTCATACGGATCTGCCTAGTATGCCTCCGGATAGAGATATAGATTTCTGCATTGACTTGGAAACTGACACTCGCCTTATTTCCATCCCTCCATATCATATGGCTCCAGCAGAATTAAGAGAGCTTAAGGCTCTAATCCAAGAGCTTCTTGATAAGGTTTCATCTGTCCTAGTGCTTCCCCGTGGGGTGTTCCTGGCTTGTTATTAAGAAGAATGAGGGTAGTATGAGGACTGGTGATTTTATCTTGAGCCATAAGGGAGTGGATTAATATCAAAATGACAAGATTATGGATAAAGAAAGTCTCATTGAGTATACTTGGGTGGAGGCAATTGAAGATATTAGTAACAAGTACGTATAAGAATATTGGGTTAGTCCTTTGAATTTGATGAGTTTACCTGAGTTTGAGACGTCGTGTTGATGAAAAAGGTTGACTTTGTAGTGATATTCAAGGTTGACGGAGCGTAATGTCAATAAGAGTTCGTGATGGATTGTGACGGGATGCAACTATATAATAAAATTGTTGGTTAAGTGAATTTCTGTATAGTAATTACGATTTGCGAGTATCCAAGGTCGTGGTTTTCTAATACTTAGTGAGTAACGTGGTTGTATGGAAATTATAAGAGATGGTAGGACACCACTGGAATAGAATGTCAAAGAGCTAGAGTTATAATGAAGGAAAATATAGTAGAATGTAGTACAACCTTTACAGAGAGGCGAGATCAAGAATATTTAAATTGATTGCAAAGGCTAAAGAGATATCTCTAGAGGGGTAGATAATTGGGTTCAGAGACACGTGATTTCATTCGTTTTGTTGTGGCTATGGTAATAGTGTTACAAGTCCGTAAGATTGGTTAAAAACTATTGGAAAGGACTTGAGAAATGAGTGTACAGACATTAGCTCGAATGTGACGATAAGTGTTTGGTTCTTGTTTTGAGTTTAGTAATGAGTACGATTGAATTTTAGCGAAGGATATGGTAAAATCAATGGAGATGTGATCAATGATAAACGGAGATCCATGAATTCATAAAAATCCTCAAGGTACAAGCTAATGTTGATAGAGAAAGGTGTAACGACCCCTTTCGAAAGGATACGACCACCTAAGCAAGAAAACTACTTAAATACTTGCGACAATTAAAAGAGACTTACTATGGCCATAATTGATTGTAGTCTAATAGAGGGATCAGGTTCATAAAGGAAAAAAAATTTTAGATAAGGATGTGCATCTTGTACATTT